TTGATGCAAGTTCAACTTATGTACATCATATTTTTTTGAGATCAATTAAGGCGCATCAATTTTTAATTTTCACAGTGTATTTTATATTAGTCAGCTAGTATCATGTGATTAAGAACCAGTGTATTGATCTAAAATAGATTATACTGAATATGTATTGTGACGTCCGGTGACTGATTGTGATACTGATATGCAATCTTCCACACTAGCTCAACCGGCTACTCAAGTGAAAAGACAGTGAAAAAAGAAGTTTAATGGGTCGGCATTTCTGTATGCTCATATATATATATATATATATATATATATATATATATATATATATATGTCCCCTAGAAAATTAAACTAGTAATAATGTGTCATTCATAATAAAAGAAAGCCGTTTCTTACCCAATCATTTGTCATTTGGTCGATCTCTGAGTAACCCAACCTACCGCATCTTCTGTCTCGACGTGGTGGTTGCGTTTGTCTATTGTGATGACTCAACAGAACAACATTATCTGGAATATATGTTCCTTTAGGCCCTACCATGCCAAGCAGGTCAGTTGGAGAACTATGAAACTAAAAGCAGTAACTTAAGGCTTCAGGCCGAAGTTGTACTGCTGACTATAGAGGGGTACGATAGAAGTGAGGTATTCACTTTTTGAAGTGCGGAGCTAACACATTAAAAACTTCTCATAAAAAGGCTATGTGTGACCGGCTTCAAGAACTTGGCTCTTGGGCTTTGGCTCACTTACCTAGGTCGCTAAGACCACCACTAATTCAGCTTCTTTTTCACGTCCCTCAATAAGAAATATCTTTTCACGGTGTGAGCAGCCAGGAAGTGACAACTGCCCTCATACCTTTAAAAGTATCTGAGATCATCACGATCGATCCCCTACCTCATCTCTTTATAATTTTCCCTTCCCCACATTTAACCATTCTCACTTATCTTTGTCTCCACGCGCCATAGTTGTTAATGATTTAAGCTCATGAAATATTATTCCCAGTCTCGTGAAACCACGCTCTAAACTACATATTGGAGCGTTTAATTTTCGAACTTTGTGTCCTAAAGGAAAACAAACTTCTTTAGCTGGGAATGTAGAATCTCGCTCCATCGATGCATTTTGCGACTCCGAAATCCACAGACAGGATCCAAGTATGTTCATTCATCTGACCTCGTCTTGTCAATATAAAGAACCGGAACGATTTTTCGAGTATCTAAGGGTTCTACTGCTACTTCCCGTGGCCACGCTGCTTTAGGTATAGTATGATATCCAAATAGCTGTAGGAACAGCAGTGATATTCACTAATAACCCAAACCAAAAGGTTAGGAGGAATCAGCGGATTTCAGTATCGTCTACAGAATTGATAGATACTCGGAAACTCATCCCTTCTGGTTCTAAACACGACGAGGAGCTGAGGTAGCTTAAATATAGACTGGAAACAAGCCTACGTAGTGATCATGAACAGCGGTGGGTCGCAAAAGCCGAAGAGATGGAAAAGACAGAAGCGATGGGTAAAAGTAGACAACTGTTCAGACTTTTCAAGTTAACGGGTATTAAAAATCCGACTGTTAGTAAAGCTATCTCAGGAAAAGACGGGAATATTATTCATTTTCATTCCAGAAGATTGGATGGTTGGACATGACAGTTCAACTGGCCGTCAATCACACTTCAATTACCGAACATCGATTGATCTGAATGGTAAATTGATGTTAGTCATCCACTACTTAGTGAGGTTAAAGACTTGCTTACGCCTGTTACTCCTCGTGAAGGAGCATTGGCCGCTCACATGGCCACGCGTATATAGCCTCTGCCAGGGAAGTCCTACTCACTGCCTTCTCGTGGCGGGGGTGTTGTTTACAAAAATGAGAGGACGAAAAGCGAATGTCCGGCGCTTTAACCGGACCCCAAACCAATGGTGCACATGGGCTCCAGTATCCTGAAGGAACAAATGGCGTATGAACCAATCCTTGGTCACCGGCTACCATGGTACCGCATCTCCTTACGATGCTCCACTGCCTTGTGGGTCAGACGTTCAGGTCGAAGGCTCGGGGTGTGGCCCCCTAAGAAAACCACGTGCTTCGGTTTGGGCACCCGGGCAGTATCACAGCCCTCACACAAATCAACTGAGATTCGTGTGGCGCATATGTATTTGGTGCCTCCTTGTACCAATACCTATGTGTTAACATAAAATAAATAATAATTGGCCGCTCACCAGCATTCTCCATCCAACTCTGTCTGGGGCAATCCTTTCCAGTTGTTATTCATCCTTTTCATATCTGCTTCTATTTCCCGACGTGATATGTTCTTTGACCTTCCTCTTTTCCGCTTTACTTCAGGATTCCAAGTTAGGGCTTACTTCGTGTTGCAGTTTGATTTCCGTAATGTATGTTCTATCCATCTCCATCGTCTTTTCTTAATTTCCTCTTCAGCTGGGAGTTGGTTGTTAAAAGGGGCATTTATTTATTTATTTATTTTAACACATAAGTATAGGAACAGGGAGGCACCAAGTACATATGCGCCACACGAATCTCAATTGATTTGTGTGAGGGCTGTGATACTGCCCGGGTGCCCAAACCGAAGCAGGTGGTTTTCTTAGGGGGCCACACCCCGAGCCTTCGACCTGAACGTCTGACCCACAAGGCAGTGGAGCATCGTGAGGAGATGCAGTCCCATGGTAGCCGGTGACCAAGGATTGGTTCATACGCCATTTGTTCCTTCAGGATACTGGAGCCCATGTGCACCATTGGTTTGGGGCCCGGTTAATGCGCCGGACATTCGCTTTTCGTCCTCTCAATTTTGTAAACAACACCCCCGCCACGAGAAGGCAGTGAGTAGGACTTCCCTGGCAGAGGCTATATACGCATGGCCATGTGAGAGCATTTCGAGAGGGAGAGAGGACTCTTCCCACTCTCGGCCGTACCAGGGCATTTGGGGGCGGTCTCGATCTCTGATCGTTTCAGTTTATAAGAAAGGACAAAAACCGTCTCGTGACAATCACGGGGGAATCAGTTTGACTAATATAATTTCTAAAATATTAGCCTCAATAATACTTCGGCAGATTCTGGAACATACTTGACCTTTAGGCGGCGTTTAACTTGGTTGTGAGGTCGTGTGGCAGTCCTTCATCAAAGTACATTAACGGTGTACAGGTTATCTACTCGAACACTACTGGTCGAGTCAGAACTCGTTGAGAACTTATCGGAATTGGTTACTTCAAGTAGTGTATGTCAGGGTTGTCTTTCTCCATTTTTATTTAACTTTGTCATAAAATGCTTTTAGGGATAATATTTCATCGGCTGACTTCTCAGGAGTCGGTCTTCTACAGGGAGATTCACTTGTTGACTTAGAACATACAGATGATATAGTTCTGTTTAGTGAGAGCGTTTACAAAATATAGTCTTATGACCACCTTAGGCAGCAATGCAAGCATATTTAGGATAGGGTTTTCTCCCTCGAAATTTGAAATGTTACTTCAGAATTGACTTGCGTCATCGCCTGAATTAGTGATAGAGAGTGGAATAGTTGAACGCCTTGACTGCTTCACTTATCTTGAAAGTCTCATCAGTACTGATAGTTTGGTGTCCGACGAAATCTCGGTACGGATTAAGAAGGCTCGATCGGCTTTTTCCAACTTGCGGCATTTGTAGTGTATGCGATTATAGGTGTCCACGAAGTATTGCTCGTGCATTTTGGGACCACGGAGTAAGCAATGCCTGGGTTAATGTTATAATTCTCTCTTATTACAACCCAGCTATCCCTGTTGCTTAGTATTCTCGGACACCAATTCACTCGACAAGTCCCCAAATCAGAACACGGTTGAACAGGAAAGAGATTATATTCCAAATAGCAAGGTTAGATGGAAGCAAGAAGTACAATAGGAAAAACGTTAGTATATTTAGTTTTTACATGAGGAGATTCTAGAGTGTCCTCCAAGTATCGACTAGCGCTGATTAGATAAGAATTAGCCATCAGTGTTTGTCCTATCCACTTCCAGCATCTTTTCTTAATTTACTCTTCATGTGGAAGCTGATTTGTTCTGTCATAGTAGGTAGTTGCTGTTGGTATCCAACCAATGGATGTTAAGTATCCTGAGTAAACAACTGTTTATAAATATCTGCTCAGTTTCGTTGATGGTTATAGTAGTTTCCCAAGTTTTAGTCCCGTACAATAAAACTATCTCGACCTTTGTATTGAAGTTTCTGACTTTGTTGTTGGTTGGTACTTGTTTGAAATTCCAGATACTCTCCAATTGCACTTCCTACGATATTGAAGTCACTGCTTTTCTAATTTCTTTCCAGTCGTTCCTCATGGTGGTTTCTTCTAATAAATCTTTTAAGTCTTGTAACTTGTTAGGATCTGGAAGAGAGGCTGTATTAAACTTCCGTAATTCTGTCTAATTGCGCAATGCTTCTTTAGTTTGGTCACCACTAGATGATGTTCTGAAGCTATATCAGCTCCTTTCTTTGTTCGTACGTCTTTCGTAAACTTTTGGAATTTTTACTTGGTCAACCTAGATTTCTGTATTGCGGTCTAGCGAAACGTATGTAGGTTTTTGTATATGTTTGTATGAAGAAATCTTACCACCTATAACTGTGTTATTGAAACCACATAGACCTACTATTCTCTCTGCTTTCTCCCTGTCCATGTCTCCCCATGACGCGTCTTTACAAATTGTTTTTTTTTCTGGATTTAGGGCTTAGGTTCTCCATCAGAAGCGTCAGATCGCTTCCTTAGTATTTTTCCAGGATGGACTGCAACCTTCAGTAGAAATGGTATTTATCATCACTTCTGCCATTGGTGGAGATGGGTAGGACTAGGTGATGTTCTTTATAATCCATTTCTTTGTCTCGAAAAATGCTTTGGTAACCTCGGAGCCGTAGGTTTTTCATCTTATGGGCACTTGCTGTGCCTCTTTCGAGAGCATCAATGCTTCAGGCGAAGTTGTCAAATATTCAAAATGGAACTCAGTGGTCTTTATCTCCCCCAAAATTATCCTGCTATCAATGGTGAATGTATCAACATATACATGGAGTTAGAGTAATGTCTATATTCTCTATGTTATGCTCACCATCCGTATGTATTTTTATGAAAGTGTCTTTGTGATTTCTTTGTGTACAGGAAGGTAAACATAACGAAGGACGATCTTCATATGGGCATAGTTTAGTTGTGGATCCTTGGGGTCAAATTATCGCTGAACAGCTGGATCCTGGTCCTGGTTTATTAACATGTGAAATAGGTCCATTTACGATGATTAATTCAACAACATCTATTATTCCTAAAATTTATCATGTAAGGAGATCAATGCCTGTGGAATATCATAGACGATTCGATTTATTTCCAATGTCTGACAGTGGGTTTCCTCGTTGTAAGTGTATATATTCAAACTTACTTCGTCCTTCATTTTACTCAGTAATAGGAAGTTCACAACTGGAAAAATAGTTATACAATTCTATCGAAATCGTTGTTTTAAGAAGGTTACTACTTTTACTAAAATATTTCAAATTTTTTAAGAACTTACGCCTGGAGCAACTTAGTAAAACCAATTAGATCTTAGTTTAAGCAATCTGCTCATCACCGACTGATACATATCAGAAAACTAATACAAACAAAGGTAGTTGACATTTTTATATTTTCAATCCGGCATCCCTTAATAGTGTACACCCTTGACCGCATACGAAAAGTGGTTCAGAACTTCCGGTTTCTCACAATAAACATATTTTCATCAGCCGATGGTTCACACCAGACTTCTCTAAACCCACATTACTGGAAAACTATCAAACTACCTTTGAGAGATCGATCTTCAATATCGTTTGACTATACTGATTACGGCTTCTTAAAACATGCATTCATAATATCACTCTTGGGCACTAGAAATAATATTCAGTTAAGTCATTTGATAATAAAGTCACTACTGAAGTATCAAACTAAAATTGAATAGCTATGTGTTGCAAAATCGAGACTGTTATTTGCAAACTGCCCTTTGATTTAGTCCATCTAACATTGTTGTGTTTTACAGTATTGTCCCCGTCTACTACTGAAAGGGCTAATTATTGCGTTGAACGTAGTGTCAATCACAAAGTAACGCAAAATTTCTGGTTAGAATCCACGTCTTGCTAATTTTTGAAATTAGGAGCTGTGACGAAAGTGGTTAATTCAATTGGTATAAATCCTTTCGCTCATCAATAACTCGGTTTACTTTAGAATTTAAAAATTTGATAAATACACGGTTGTTTTCTGTTCAAAAGTGCGAAATGGAACTGTTCTATTGAATGTCAAAAATCGTTTCATGTGTTGAGGTCAATTATTTAGTATTTATTTGAACACAAACATTGGTACGATGGGGCACCAAATACTTATGTGCCACACAACAACAATGAGGTTGTGAAGAGATAGAAAATGTAAAGTTTGTACAGTAAAATAAAGAGCAACAACGGAGAAAAATTAATGTATGGGAGTGAAAAAACAATAGTGGAGGAAACAGTTCAGTTACAAAAAAATACAACCAGAGACAATTCTTTCACGTAGAGAAGTTACGATCACTTTTATAGAGAAAGTAGAAGAAAGTTACCACTAACTTCTATTCTGAGCCATGTTTAGTAACGTCTCTAGTCACTTCGTTGTACCATCTGTATGACTCCAACTAGGGAGTCGTGAAGGATCAGAAGTCAGCTCTGTACAGCTTTCTTTCATACCACGACACCATGTCCAGCCGGTCCCAGCGTCGGCAAATAATATGCGACGTGAAATGCTGTAATACGACACAAAAGACATGTCCAAAACACCAAAATTGAAGAACTGGACGGCCGTTTCGTCCTAGTGTAGCACTTCTCAGCAGTGCGCATGCACGACCCCGCTCGCGGTATTCGAACCCGGGGCCTATCTGTTTCGCTCGCCAACGCTTAACCTCTAGACCACTGAACCACCATCGTTGTCTCCGAAGGATTGCTGACATTCAGTGGCAACACCATGTTAGTAATGCAGAGGTTCGGTATAGTGTGTTCGGGTTCAGAGATCGATAATTCAATTGGTGTCACTATCTTGAAACATCTACTTCGGTGGCTTGAACATGTTCTACGAATGTCGTCCCAGAGAATTCCACGTCGTGCATTATTTGCTGACGCTGGGACTGGTTGTAAAAAGCGGAGAGGTGGTCAGTGTATGACATGGTGTCGTGGTATGAAAGAAAGCTGCAAAGGGCTGGCTTCTGTTGGTCCTTCACGACTCCCTGACTGGTGTCCGAGAGATGGTGTGACACAGTGGCTAGAGACGTTATCAGATATAGCTCAGAATAGAAGCCAGTGGCGATCCTGCTGTAACCTTCTTTTACTTCATAAAAAGTAGCTGTAACTTCCTTGACTGAAAGAATTCTCCTGATTGTACCTTTCCGTTTCCCCCATTATTATTAATTAATTAATTAATTATTATCATTATCACACTACCAAACACTAAGCTGTGGTCCTTATTGTTTTTTCCCTATACGCACCTTACCTTCTTTTTCTCTTCCCATTCTGATTGTTTTATGTGGCGCATATATATCTGGTGCCCCCTTGTACCAATATTTATGTGTCCAAATAAATAAATAAATAATAACCGAAGTTGATGTTCCAAGATGGTAACACCATTTGAATTATCGTCGCTGTGCCCGAACACACAATGCCGGACCTCTGCATTACTAACATGGTGTTGCCACTGAATGTCAGCAATCCTTGGGGGATAACGATGATCAAACACAGAGAGTCGTCTAACATCCTCGACTCGGAGAGGCCAGGTTTCACAAGCATAAAGCAGAACTGCTCTCACTAATGCGTTGTAGATCCGACCTTTTACAGCCAGACTAACATCACGGAAGCGCCAAAGATGGCCCAGATTGGTATAAGCTGCTCTGGCCTTCACTATACGTGCATTGATCTCATCACTCACGCCACCACCACACCTACACAGCCACCCAGGTATACGAACTCCGACTACTGTCTGTTCACTACCCAAGGTGAGTGCAGGATCACGGTCCTGTCAGTCGTGCAAAGGTATTTTGCACTTGGAAGGTGCAAAGCACATGCCAATACTAATATATGATATGATCTTTATATATTATTATCCTAGTCTCAGTTATGGGCACCGAAATATCCCATTGTTTTAAGAATGTTTGAGTACAGTAGTTGAGTCGAAAGGGATGGATTGTCTCTCATTTTTGAGGTGTAAGAATTTCACAAAATGTTACTTGGAAGAAAATCTACCGTGGTTACTGATCTGTCTTTTGTTTCAAGGAAAAATATTTTATACTGTAATATATCTCCATTGATGGGGGTTATTGTTGTCGTGTTGTAAATTCACTATCAAATAAGTCGATCGGGTTCAAACAGATCTCATGCTTTCACAAGAGCACTTGGTATATGAGAAGTCTGGGCTTATTGTTAATTAATGGATTATTCGTCTGCCCAAAGTCACCACCTATATATCTGGATTATTCCAGTAATATATATTTATGTATAACAATATATTTGTGTATGCATGTTCTGTGCATGGTTTCATCCATTTTGGCTCATTTTTAGTCTCCCTTTACATAGCTGGATGAGCATGTGTTGGGAAACGTGCTGAATAAATCAGATCTCAGTGCATAACGGATTTTGGTTGAGTACACGTTGTTAACTGGAGATATGTCGGTGTCGTTCTGTGTAGTTGTATGTCCATGCGTGAGTGTGGATTCACTTCTATTCTTGTACACATGCATATTAACATCATGGAGTGAGCAGACACTTACTTGTCCGGTGCACAGTCTCATCTAACTGAGGAAGCTCGCTAGATGGCTAAGGTGTTTTGAGTGTTTGACCTCAAACCACCTGGTACGACTAAAGACTGGGGGAGTCCCTTCCACTTGGAATGCTCTCATATGGCCATGCATTAATCGCCACTGCCACAAAAGCCCTACTCATACAATGGACGTGTTTACAGAAATTAGAGGACAAAAAGCGAACATCCGGCGCTTTAACCGGGTTGTCGGGCTTGTTGGGGAACTGATTCCGAATTAGTTGTGCACATTAACTTCAGAATTCTAAGTAAACAAATGTCGCATATGCTCATTTTTGTTCACCGGCTACCATAGGACGTCATCTAACGTCACTCCACCCCCTTGTGGATTAAACTCTTAAATCGGGAGTTCAAAGAGTGATCCCCTAAGAAAACCACTTGCATCTGTTTTCGCCATCGAAAAGTATCTTAGCTCTTATGCAAATGTAACCAAAATTATGAAAAAATTAATATATTTGCTTTGCGTCTTCTCTAGCTCAGTGGATAATTGCTATCCATTGTGTCCAAGTATATTTGTTCACTTTACTTTCCCATTCCATTTCCTTTCCATTCGGTGTTTATTTCTATTGCTTAACCCACTCAGTACCTTGTATGTATTGAAAGTACTATCCTTCCTAAACTATCTCATGTCTCTGTCTGGTCGAAATTCTGAATGCTATCACTGAATGTGATGTATAGATCAGACTTAAAATCATATGTATTATTTAAATTATCCGCCCTCAACGTCCTCAAACTGATGTTGATTGGTCAACATATAAGTTTGACTAGGTCTTTGAAAGGTCTTAACATTAATGTTTTCTGTTTATCCAAAACCCGTGTTCAAAGACTTTAGAGAAGTACGACGAATTCGTTCTTCATCTGCCGATCTGAAAAGTATTTTTATGTGCATTTGTCTGGGGACTCTATTATTTTCATCTGGTTTGACCGGCGTTAGTGTTTCCTTTAGCACCTGATCAGAGCCATCACTAATCCATTGGATCCCCATTAACATAGGTTTATGTGATGTTGGAAAAGTTCATAACAATAGGAAGAAAATGGCATGGTATGCAATGTCTTTTCTCAATCTCTGCCTATGCATTGACAAGTAGCAGTTCGATTGGAATCAAGGACGAGAACTACCAACAATTAGATCTCATGTAAGCGCATTCGACAATTATATGGTAGTGCTAATTGGAGATTTGAATCCATAGGTACGGACATCTAGGCGCAGAGGAGAGTCATTTGTGATCAAATGGAACTCGTTGTCCCAGGTCATATAAGAATGACTGTTTTCTGAAACGTTTTATAAACAACCCGTTTCTGGTCAGCATCTATTTCTGTCCTAGTCATCTATCTATTATTTATTATTATCTAAACACATGAACATAGGTACAAGGAGGCACCAAATAGATCTGCGTAACATAAATCATTCGATTTGTGTGGTGGCTAGGATACTGCCCGGGTGCCCAAACTGACTCAGATGGTTTTCTTAGGGGGTCACACCCGGAACCTTTGACCTAAAGGTCTGATCCACAAGGCAGTGGAGCGACGTAGGGATATGTAGTCCCATGGTTGCCGGTGACCAACAATTGGTTCATATACCATTTGTTCCTTCAATATACTGGAGCCCATGTGCACCATTGGTTTGGAGTCAGGGTTTTACAACTCCTCTATGTAAACCCTCCATACCCACTAAACCGGTTAAAGTGCCGGATATTCTCTTTTCGTCCTCTCAATTTCGTAAAGAACAGTAATGCCGCGAGAAGGCGGTGAGCAGGACTTCCCTGTCAGTGGTTGTATGCTTGTGGTCATGTGACAGCATTTGGAGGGGGAGATTTGACTCTCTCCACTCTCGACCGTACCGGGGCATCAGTAATGTGCTACCTGAAATCCTTCCTCTCCAATTCATCCCTGGTCAAATTCCTACCAACTACTCTTAGTATGGTTGTGCATCGAGCTGCCGCTCTTTTTGGAGTACCTATTCGGAGTCTGATTATGTCCTTGTTTTCACCTAACTGACCTTACGTTTTAGTGACTAGCGAACGTCTCATCCCAAAGCGATTGACATAGGTGAATTGGTTGAGGCTTTCATCGCAATCAAAATATCAAACCGAGTTAGGTTTAAGTCTAGTAGTCAGTCCATCAGGATTCGTAGATAAACATTAGGTGGACTTGCATGGTGCCTTGGAAATAGCTGGTCACATCTTTTGCGGTTTTGTGAGGCACTTCAGTCTACTCCAACTAATCGTGAGTTTGACGACAGTTTGCGTACGGACTGAGTAGTTTGGTAGTCAGAGAGTACTAATGGGATTGAAGTGGCAGCTGCATCTTAACTATCAGAAGCTCATTCAAGTCAAGTATTCATACTCTGCGCTTGTGAAACCTGGCCTCCGATTTAAGGATGTTCGGGAATCGTTCGATTGTTTTTGTCTGCAAAGAATTGCTGACATACGTGGTAACGCCATTTTAGTAATGCTGAGGTTTAGCAATGCGTGTTTTAGCACATCGACAATAATTAAGTTTATATCATTACTTTAAAATACTAAATCCGGTAGCTTGTACATATGTTGCAAATGTTATCTCAGTAATTTGTGAACCTTGGAACTGGGTAGATAAAGCCAATAGTCTCAACACCGTAGTATGGAAAGAGACTGTGTAGGACTTCCCACTTGAGGTTCTGTAAATGGCAGAACTCAGTGGGTTGAAGCATAGTCAGAAATGATTGAGAACATAGGCTAATAGCGATCCCATAGTGGTTTACTTTGCATTCTTTATAAAACTGGTGAGAACTTCATCGACTGAAAGAACTCTTTCTGAATTATTTCTAACTGAATTGTTTTTCTCATTATATGCTACTCGTTTACTTATTTCCTTTTTCGCTTTTGATTTTAATCCATCTTCTTTCTCTCATCGCAATGTTACTGGAATCAATGCTTCAGGTTTCAAACCACAAGCTTTGTTATCTAATTTTGCAACAAGTGCCCAAAATTTATCCGAAATAGATAACGTCAATGTGAAACATTGCATGAGTTACAGCATCTTATAGGTCTTTATCAATTGTAAGCTTAAGCTATTTTTCTTAAGTGAGTTGTAGTTGCATCTAATCTCCATACAGACACCCTAAAGCATTTCCTCTCATTTCATCTTGAAATCAGTAGAATAAACTTTACATGTAGTTGCATATGTCCTACTGAAATTTATGAGCAGATCAAAAAATTGGTTTGCTAATACAGCGAATATATTCTGTCAAAATGCCAAGATCTGGAAAATTAAGTCATATGTGTGATCATTTCCTACTTAACGATGGCTTTGTATTCATGTTTATTTTGCCGAACCATTTCATAATATTCATGTTGTTGATTGTTCCAAATGCCTAGAGTTACTCTTTACTAATTTTATGATTTCAAGTGCTACAATGTCTCAGCCGAGTCAGTTATTCAGCCGTTATACAACCCTGATTTCCTGTTAATACTATTTTTCTCTTCATTTACACACTTATATCCTTAATAAAAATGAATCAATGTCGAAGTCAAATAATCATGCAAGTTTATTTTAAACCAACTGTATTAAACATTTTTCGCTGTTGTCCAATTTTATTTGCAAAAATAGCTATACAGTCTGTGGATTTTAAATTTGGTCCTCATATAATCAAATCGGATTGTGTCTTTTATCAATCGAAGTTAAGCTTTGCGTTCGTAAATATTAGTCCATTGGTACCAGGACGTATCCTTTTTTATATCATATTTTATTTACGTCTTAAAGGACTAGTAAATGTTTGTCGAAAACAAAGCATAAATTTATTTATTTATTTAAACACGTAAACATTCGTACAAGGAGGCACCAAATAGATCTGCGTAACATAAATCATTCGATTTGTGTGGTGGCTAGGATACTGCCCGGGTGCCCAAACTGACTCAGATGGTTTTCTTAGGGGGTCACACCCGGAACCTTTGACCTAAAGGTCTGATCCACAAGGCAGTGGAGCGACGTAGGGATATGTAGTCCCATGGTTGCCGGTGACCAACAATTGGTTCATATACCATTTGTTCCTTCAATATACTGGAGCCCATGTGCACCATTGGTTTGGAATCAGGGTTTTACAACTCCTCTATGTAAACCCTCCATACCCACTAAACCGGTTAAAGTGCCGGATATTCTCTTTTCGTCCTCTCAATTTCGTAAAGAACAGTAATGCCGCGAGAAGGCGGTGAGCAGGACTTCCCTGTCAGTGGTTGTATGCTTGTGGTCATGTGACAGCATTTGGAGGGGGAGATTTGACTCTCTCCACTCTCGACCGTACCAGGGCATTTAGGGATCTAAAAACCAACAAATACTTTCTTCGAATATGATATTCCAAGCCATTAAGAGGTATTCTTTGTAGTGTCTTTATCAATAAGTTGCTGTCGACTATACAACTATCGTTTATCCAACGATGCAATTTCGTGCTCAGTGACAATGTGAACTGACAAGAAGTTTACCCTCGTTGAGAGCAGCTTTGAGCAATGAAGGAGAGATGGAAAAGGTAGTGGCGATAGGTAACTCTATATAGTTGTTACGAATCATCGGGGAAACTGGTGTTAAATATTCAGCTATCAGTAAGAAATTTTCGGAACAAAACTTGGCAGTGATTTTTCGGTCTGGGCGATTAGACCGATGGAAAGAGCACTTCGAAGAACAAATCGGTCAGCATTCCAATAACCTAGACCAGAAATCTCTACAAAATCAACAAGCCCATATTTAAACGGATGTAAGGGGAAACAGAAAAACGTGATAGGTTAACACTAGAGGTCAGTTTCCAAAACACTGACCTTTATCTGCTAATTTGGTACTTTGGGACAAAAAGACCAGGAAAAAACTAGTTCAGTACTCATATAGGAAATCTTCAATCAGATATTTACCATTTAATAGATTTAGGGACATTGCTATACTTAAAGTTGTATTTCATGACTTTTATGCGACATTCGATTCATGACCACAGAGTTTTGTGGGAAGTGTTTTTTATTAAAAGGTGTGCCAAAGGACAACAGACTGATTTCCAGACTCATCAAAAAACCAAAAATCCAGTAGTTAGTGAATTTATTGCGGAAAAGATCGAACAATGATCTACCCAGCCCAATGTATTGAAACGATGGATGGTAAACTTTGAAGAACAGTTTAACTGTTTTCCAGCTACTTCCAGTTGTCTACTGCTACCAAGCAACCTGAATGGGATACCAACATTAGCTCCTCGACTGTTAGTGATGTTGAAAAATCCATGACTAATCTAAAGCGAAAGAATCCAGAAGGTTTTGATGAATTAACTCCGGAGTTCTGTGAAGATAGTGGTCCAGTTTAGAAGTTGTTATAAAGAATGATGTGTTTCGTACATACGGAACTACACTGATGCTGTCCAAAGAAGCACGGATATTACTTATGTGACAAGAATCTCGTGGACCCAGGGTTATCAAAACGAGGAAGAAAGGGATCACGATGAATGTTGTCCAGTTCTATACACCTACCAACTCTAATTGTCAATAATTCGAAAACTGGTTTCAACTTTTTAGTATTTGTTGTTATAACATCGAGTGTAAAAAGGTTTACATAATTACTTAATCTGTCAAAACATTTTATCTGTTACTTTGCCTATGAACTGGAAAGGCAGAGACCCACGTTCGTTCAAATGGATATGGTTCACTCGTCTTCTCATATCCTTAATTGAAGGCAAATAGATTTTTGACGGTCTTCAGTTTGCTTTTGGTAATGGTTAAGGTGCTCTTTACGAACTGGATTCAACTTTAGAGATGTTTTGTAACTATGTGGGTGGGTGGATTTGTCTCTTAAACTCAATACTGTATCCTAAGTCTCATCAATTCGTCCTTAAATAATAATACCACCGGATTAAGGTATATTTCAAGACTAGAAATTATTGTTCTTTTCCCTGTAATATGTAATCTACATAAGAAAAATGGAGTGCTTGATACATTTAGCACCAGTTTTACTCCACGATGACAGGACGTTTTTTTTTAATGCGTTTTGAGCACCATATAAAAATTATTACCACTCATTTTAGGTCAGTTTTGTATTTTGCGCAAAAACCTAGCTCATTTTCTCGATTCTGATGGTATCATTCTCATATCTTACTTGTACTAGTGTAATTGTTACTAAACACATATCACAAATCAGGCTTTGGTTATTTTCTTTTGACGAATAAGTTTCAACATAGATATACTTGTTTGTCCGATTGCTAATGTGAAAAGATTTTGTCAGCTGAATCTGGCACAAGTTGCTGATCTTTATATGACTGTCAGACAGATTGCTGAACGACTAGCTGGATATTTTTCAGCTACAAGCCTAACCGTATCTATGCAAGATGGGGAAGATGCTGGTCAAAGTGTGTCAGTAAGTTTTTTACTGTAAAACATGCTATACTTTCAAATTATCCCTGTAAAATAATTATGCCTTAATTGTTTAGCGACTAAAGCATATGCTTGTGTTCCAACTAACGGAAATCCTCTGTCTTTCAGTTTAGACATCCAAGTATTGTCATTAGTAGTATTCATAGTAATTGTAAAAAGAATAGTTTCGAACTGCTAAATCTTTCATTTTATTCTGTATTCAGCATTAAACAATTAAGTGATATTGTTTAGTAGCCTAATTTTATTTCTACTGATATGATATTTAACTTTCTGGTCAATCATAATCTCAATGTTCCATTGTATAATACTCATATCTCACTAGAAAATTTAATTAGGTTATCAATATTTAATGGATTGGTGAACTTGTTAGTAAGCTAATAATTGGGCATAAATATTCCTGATTAGTCACCACAGTTGTGTTTTATTGTATATAATCTCATTGATCGTGTGTATCATGCCTATATGGTATTTGCTGTAAAATGTCATTCAAGTTTGGTTATTCGCTGGACGAAACACTCTTTCACATATGGCGATTCTGTTAATGATATTGAACTGACTTGCGTAGTTGATCATACACCAATATGATAGCTGCATTTCGGATCTATAAGAGCAGCTACATTCCATCACATTTGTTAGAATATGTTACCTTTTCATGTCATCTGCGTGTAAAAAGGTAGACTCAGGTTAAAAATATGTATTATTTTCCTTTCGTAAGCTGGAGATAAAGTTGATGTTAAGAAAAGATGAACCTGGATAAATCATTAAGGGCTGGATAGTTTTCGTATGATCACCCTTAAAACGCCTAAAACGAGGGTTTGTTTCATAAACGATACCCAACAACTCATGATTATTACCGATTGACCATTTATTTATTGCATAGAGCCCCTTTGTTTCTAGTGCTACCTTGACTAAGACAACTGGGATATATACAACTTATAAATTAATCTAATTTCTACCAAACCCATTCAAGTAAACTGTTAGATTATAAATATTGTGTACATATTGAGCAATCTTAAATTAGTATTTTATTGTACCTCAATTATCAGTCAACTTGTGATTTTAGCAAATAAATCTGGCTCATTTGCATAATGCTTTCTTAATTACTCATTTATTCAAATGTAAATTATAACCATATGGTTGTACTCTGTAACTTATCAGAAATTACTGTAACTAGTTTTCTGTAATAACCATTTTGGACTTTATTCGTTAATCAATTGAATTTTTAATAGTTAACAGAAATGAGATATCAATAGGTTGACAAAAAGTTGTTTAAATATTTAGGTTTTCAATGTTTAGAATGTAAATATCGAATTCACTCAGAATAACTCTGGCCAATTAACCTTTTCCTAAGGTATTAAAAAAAAATTCCTCCATTCTATGTCTAAACGCACTTATCCTTAAGCAGTTGCTACTTGACGTGGTGGTCGGGCTTGCCTATCGTGATGGCCCAACTGAGCTATACTTGCTGGAACATATGTTCCTGTACGTTCTACCATGCCAGGCAGGTCAACTGGAGAACGGTAAGACTAAAAGCAACAACTGAACGTCTGAGGGCGAAGTAGTACTGCTGACTGTAGAGGGGTGTGACAGCATTCAGGTGTTTTCCTCGGATGCTGCCTTCTCACAAGGAAGGATGGGGTTAGAAAAGGTAGACCATAAAAGTGTCACACCTCACCTTGCCTCTGGATTTTCGTCTCTGGCGCTAAGGCTTTTTGATGAACGGAGCTAACACGTTAAAAACTCCTCACGAAAAGGCTGTGCGTGACCGGCCTCTGCGGTCGCGCTCCCAGATCGTTAAGACTAACACTAATCCAACTTCCTTTTCAGCTTCCTCAAGAAATACCCTTGCACTTTGTAGGCAGTCGGAAAGTGACATCAGACCTCATACCCGTAACAGCACACGAAACAAAGTTGGTCACAATCAAATTCTTCCTACCCTTTTCACGTCCCTTTATCGTCTCGTGCCGCTAATGCAAACGACTGGAGTACGCGGAACATTATTCATGATCTCCTGAAACCACACTCTAAACTACATGTAGGAGCTTTTAACGTCCGAACACTGTGCCAAATAGGAAAACAGGCTTCCACAGCTAGGACTTTGGAATCTCGCATCATCGATGTGTGCTACGTCTCCGAAATGCGCATACAGGATCCAAGTAGCGTCATTCATTTGGCCTCATTGTATCAAAATAAAGAACCAACTAGATTCACGCTTCACGTATCTGGAAGCCCTGATGCTGCTTCCCGTGGCCTCGCCGGTGTAGGTATAGCATTGAGTCCTAGGGCAGAACTAGCTCTCCTAGACTGGATCCCAGTAGACAGTCGTTTGTACGCTGTCCGACTAAACGTAACAGTAAGGTCTCGTAAAGATAGGGACATTCGTCGTTGCCTCTTCGTCGTCTCTGCCTACTCTCCCACTGACTGCAGCTCAGATGAGGTAAAGACTGAGTTTCACAGAAAGCTTTCTGACCTCCTCCAAAAAGTTAGGCGCTGTGATATAGTAATAGTGGCTGGTGAATTGAATGCTTAAGTAGGTAAACTAAGCGATAAGGAGAGACACCTGGGTGGATCTTATGTTGTCGTGGCTCAAAGAACAGATAATGGCAATCGTCTGTTGCAGCTATGCTCAGATAACTGCCTGTTTCTAGCAAATACTAACTTTAAGCAGAAGGAAAACATCTTTTCACATGTTGACCTCCGAATTCGTCCCAACGCTGGACCCAACTAGATCACATCTATATCAACCACCGATGGAAGGGCTCAATAAAAGACTCGATCGTTCTGAAGCGCATGCTCAGGTTCAGATCATGCTCTAGTGCGGGCGCGTATTTGTCTGCTTCTTACTGGACGTAGGAAGCACGCTGCAATGGAACCTTAGGGTTCTACTTAATGACAGCCAAGCTATGAATATATTTCAGGAACAACTAGAAAAACAGTTATGCAGCCATGTAAGTGATGCTCACGCTGAGGCAGCTTGGAATGATATCTGAAAAGCTGTGAAAACAGCAATGATATAATGTAGTAAGGTGAACCGTAAGGTTAGGGAGAAACACTGGGTCTCAGCAGCATCTGCCACATTGATAGATGCTTAAAATCTCATCCTATCTGACTCTGAACATGATGAAGATCGGATTCAGCTTGAGCGCATACTGTTAATAAGCCTGCGCAATGATCGTAAACAGTAGTGGGTAGCGAATCTATCTCCCAAAAAGATGGACATAATCACTCTCAATCCAGGAGATTGGATCAATGGGCAAAACACTTTAGGAACCATTCAAACTGGTCATCAGCCACACTTCGGTTTCCCACGATTTCCAGTCGACCTGAATGGCAAGTTGATGTAAGTCCTCCAGTTTTTAGGAGTAGTTTAAAGCTATAGGAATTGGTTAGGAAGTTAGAAACAAGCGTTTAAGTAGCAAACTTATCACTGCTAATCTTTCTAGACTGTTCCATGTGACGCGAATAGTTTCCGTGCTTGTAACTCTTTAATCTCATTTGACTGGTGTAATAATTCAGTTATAATACCTGTTTCATGAACACAGCATATGTTTGAGTAAAGTGTAGTTGAATAATTTAAAAATGTACTCTTCTAACTCTTTGGAATTAAATATCATTTGTGGACCTCACATAAGAGAAACAATCTCAGCGATTGAAATTCAAATGATTACAGCATTTCGTTCAGCAGACGTGTCTGGACTTCTTCGGGGTGATAATCACAATTGTCAAAAAATATATAATGTTTAATTTTTACTGTGTTTATCCAATTATATTCAGATGTAAGGTTGAGGAAACACAAACAATGTTTGAAAAATGTTTTTAAATCCTTTGTTAATCTGAAGTAACTTGAGAGTAGATCGGTGATAGCGTTACATACGTTAGAAACAAGGCACTAGATCACTTTCTAAGGTATCAAAATACTTCAGATAGGTTTTATTACATATAAAGAAAGATTGGCAACAGAAGCGCTGTATATATAAACTAATAAGAACAACCTGAACAGAGAAGATAGTATGCAACTATCTACTACATGCCAAATGTTCATTAACAAGTAATTGAACTCTCTATTCAATCTGTTTATTTCATATGCATCGTTATTCTGACAAGAATTAATTGAAATATTTTAGCATTACAATTATATACGTGATGATTCTCATTTTACATGCACATGGACGGTTCAAAAAACAATTCCAACTTGCACTATTATTTTTACTTCATGTAAAAACAAATTGATACCTAGTTTCAATATGCACATTCATTTATTTCCATATTGTGAACTTTTCACATGATTCTCATATAACTAACTCATGTTATCCTACTTACATCTGAATATGACTAGATAAGCACAGTATAAACTTGATGTGATTGTTAAACAATATATATTTCTTTAGTAATTTTGCTTATTACCCTGAAGAAGTCCAGACAAGTTTGCTGAACGAAACGTTGGAATTACTTAAATTTCACTTATCCTAGAATAATTCAAATATGTAATGTCTTCTCTTTATTTGGCGCCTGATTCCTATCGAACTCTTTTTTCTAATATTGACAAATATTCGTATAAATAGTACACAAACGTATTTCTAGTTTTTTTTAATCCATCCATTATGATTAATATTTTTGATGGTTCTCTATTTCATTATATCAATTGTTATTATCACTATTATTATCAGCATGTTCACGTTCATGTATTGCCAAGAAAACCAAATGATTTCCCAGAGAACGATGATATTTATAAAGCAGTAAGTACTTTCTACTATTCAGTGATCTCTTTCAGTTAATGATAATCATTTCCTCTAAGTTATCATACCAAATGAATACTGAATTTATCACTTTTCGGACTTAACATTTTATTTATTTATTTAATTATAATGCTTTATATTTTCAAATAGATTCCTACGAATACCAATTTTGTAAATTTCACATCATTCTATCATAGTCCATCTTTGTGTCAATAAAGTAGTTGTTTACATATTCCTGATTTTGTGGTCAGTCTAGCGTAAATTGTAACTACATTATCCTTACCAGAGTTTCAATAAAGACATCTTAAACTACATCTGATCCTGTCCTCTATTCATGGGTTGTGCTTTTTGCAAGTAACTTCAAAAGTCGAACCGATGAAGTGAAGTCTCGAAATTTACAATCTAGTTTGGTTGCAGAACTGTTATAACTTGTGATCGCCGATTAGAGAGCAGTGAATTATCGATCAGATCAATGACGCGTAAAACGCGTACGAGCAGTCTAGAGTTCTGTTTTCTGCCTAGCCCAGCTAGTTAAGTCCAGAATACCATTCTGAGCCTCTGCGATATAAATCATTATATTTCAAACAGACTGAGTTTATATACCAATCAAACAGATCAAAACGTACCATAAAATAGAAAATAACGTCTGTACAAGATTTGGCCAAAAGTGGCTGTGAATGAGGGAGGTAGTGATTAATAGACAGGGCATATTTCAAGAATGGAAAATCGTGTAACAGTTCATAAGTTAAAATAAAGCTTATGATAAGCGAGACATGAATATGGATAGTTTAGTTAATTAACAATTATACGTTAAAAATATACGTATAGTATTGGACCATAAAGGAATCCCAAAAATTACCACTCATTATTCTTATCGGTGCATAACAAGAACATTCAAGCCACTAAATTTAATTCAAGCGTCACATGAACCTTGGAAATTTTTTTAACATAATAACCTAAATGTGATTAGAATAAGTATTTACTAAGGCAACAATAGTAACAAATGTCTAACTGTTGTCTAGCCCTAAACACTATGATTGTAATGAAGTAAAACTGCGAAAGGAGCGATCATATAATCTAGTTTTTTGTCAATAAAAGATAGTTCTAGCTGGTGTGCATTACTGTGATAACACTTCTAATTCATATTTTCACAGTAACCGTTATCTTATTTGTTGTCATTACTTTGAATTCGCAAATTTTGTTGTACCAAAGACATTACGTATTACCATTATTTACAGAACTGTTTCATCTCAGTTTTGACGCATTGGTTTTCTTGAATATCAGGTAAAGTAATAGCTCTTAAGATCAATTATCCACTGTATCGAGTTCTATTTACTGTTTATCCAGTACCCTTCTAACAGCGTACTACACTATCTCTCTGAATATTGCAATATGTGATCAGTAGCACATTCTGATTGCTTTAGTATATCGAGAAAAACTAATGCATGAATGTAAATCTTGTATCTCACATAAAATTTTAAGAAGTACACTTCATTTTATGTATGTTCTCTCATTGTAGTTACAAAGTCATGATAAAGTGAAAAATCGCGTCTATCGATCACACGATGTAATGAGTCAAGAAGCCAAACAACTTCGGCAGTTATACTACCAAAGTACTTCATAACGTTCATCAAACCGCTAATATTTTTTTCCTTCTATCCCACTATGTACCTCGTTCAATCCTTTTTTCTGTTTTAGTTTTCACTTGCATGTTAATTATGCATTGGTTGTTTGCTATTGCTGCTATGTGCTGTTTGTTGTCTATATTACCTTTCCAACTACCCTTTCGTATTTACTATTTTCGATGCTGAATAATAAGATGCGGTAACACAAAAGCGTAATTTGTTTGGAAGAAAGATTGTTATTGTAGTTGTAGTTGTTTCCCTTTTTTACGGACATAAAAATATGTTTATTTGTTGCTGTTTTTTTATTTAGGATTCGATTTCTTTCAGACCGAGATAATAATTTATATTATTTTAAGAAAATGTATTTGTTTTATTATAAATACAAACCTTTCTGTCTCAATTTCTTTAAAAGTGCTTTAAATTGATTTTTCGGGTATCCTATCTTTATCTCACTCTACTTTTACTTTTTTAGTTAAACGTCGACAGGCATCTTCAATTTGTATTTAAATTTAACGTGAACATGTTATATTTAGTCTTATTGTTTGAACTGCGGCGCTATTCACATGGCGTCGGTATGCTACTTAATTTCGTACAAATATATAAGCAAGTTTATGAATAAACACGTAAAATAAAAATAAAAGTAACATAACAAGAGTGCAATTGGTTACTTCTAAATCTATAAGTCAAAAAACCCCATAAATCTATTTAGCAATAATATTATGTGTATAAACCATTACATTGGCTGGCTGGCTGGCTCGCACGTTTGATTGAGTGTGTTGAACGATTGGTTTGGTGTGAAGGAGGCTAGTTGATATTTCTTGTCTACTGATAAGTCGTGGTTGTCAGTAGTGTATGAAGTGCACTGATTATTGTTGAGATTGGTGTTAGTATGTGGTTTATTGTGGTTTCTCAGTGGTTGTCTGTAGGCGTGTATGCATGGGGTAGTGTTGAGTGTAGTGGTGAGGAGCGATTAGTGTTGTGTTTGCTGTTGTCGAGTGGTGATTATGTTGACGGAGATGATTAATTGGCATGTGGATGAATGCGAGTGAGGTGTTGTTTGATAGTAGGGTTGGTGGACTGTGAGTGGTTGGGTTAACCGTCACGGTTTTACTCTTGTGATTTGTTGCATGGTAAGAACCGTCGACCAAGAATCGAAGTTTTCTTTGGCAGCCCTATACACGGGGCTAATATCAATTGCACAGCAGTATGGTGGTCGGATGTGTTGGGTGCAAATCAAATCTTATCCATCCTCAACACACAGCTGAAGTCAACTGTCACTTAGTCACGCACTCACTCACTCACTCACTCACTCACTAGTTCGCTAGCTGGCTGGCTGGCTGGCTGGCTGGCTCGCACGTTTGATTGAGTGTGTTGAACGATTGGTTTGGTGTGAAGGAGGCTAGTTGATATTTCTTGTCTACTGATAAGTCGTGGTTGTCAGTAGTGTATGAAGTGCACTGATTATTGTTGAGATTGGTGTTAGTATCTGGTTTATTGTGGTTTCTCAGTGGTTGTCTGTAGGCGTGTATGCATGGGGTAGTGTTGAGTGTAGTGGTGAGGAGCGATTAGTGTTGTGTTTGCTGTTGTCGAGTGGTGATTATGTTGACGGAGATGATTAATTTGCAAATGGATGAATGCGAGTGAGGTGTTGTTTGATAGTAGGGTTGGTGGACTGTGAGTGGTTGGGTTAACCGTCACGGTTTTACTCTTGTGATTTGTTGCATGGTAAGAACCGTCGACCAAGAATCGAAGTTTTCTTTGGCAGCCCTATACACGGGGCTAATATCAATTGCACAGCAGTATGGTGGTCGGATGTGTTGGGTGCAAATCAAATCTTATCCATCCTCAACACACAGCTGAAGTCAACTGTCACTTAGTCACGCACTCACTCACTCACTCACTCACTCACTCACTAGTTCGCTAGCTGGCTGGCTGGCTGGCTGGCTGGCTCGCACGTTTGATTGAGTGTGTTGAACGATTGGTTTGGTGTGCAGGAGGCTAGTTGATATTTCTTGTCTACTGATAAGTCGTGGTTGTCAGTAGTGTATGAAGTGCACTGATTATTGTTGAGATTGGTGTTAGTATCTGGTTTATTGTGGTTTCTCAGTGGTTGTCTGTAGGCGTG